TCCCTCTGTACACACCATTTACATGATTAAAGCGGAGCTCCACCCAAAAAGGGAAGTTCCGCTTTAAAGACTGGTCCCCTGTCCCCCCATTAAGGACTGACACCTTTGGGCAGCGGGGGGGGGGGGGAGGGTACCTGAATTTGACAGGTATCCGCTCCCACTTCTGCAGCGATCGGCTAGGTGATCAGAAGGTGTCCTCCCCCCCTCCCTACCTGTAGTCTTCTGGGACACGTGACGGGTCCCAGAAGACTACGGGGCCATTCAGGAAGTGCAGTGCTACTTGCGCATGTGCAGTGGGCACCTGGCTGCGAGGCCGCAAGCTGTCACAGCCGGGTGCCCACACTGAAGATGCCGGCGCCAGGGAGAGAAGACGGCCGGTGAAATGGGCTGCGGGGAGGATACCGCAGGATCGTGGGACAGGAGAGTGGCTGTTTAATAATAATATTAGTAATCCAGACACTTTGTATTTGGGGGACGCCATAATGGTGGGATGGGCAGCACAGTGGCTAAATGGTTAGCATTTCTGCCTGGCAGTACTAGGGTCGTTGGTTCGAATCCCAGACATGGCAGCACCTGCCTAGAGTTTGCATGTTCTCCCTGTGCCTGCGTGGGTTTCCTTCGGGTACACTGGTTTCCTCCCACACTCTAAGACTTGCTGGTAGATTAATTGGATCCTGTCTAAATTGGCCCTAGGGTATGTGTATGAATGTAAGTTAGGGACCTTAGATTGTACACTCCTTGAGGGTTAGGGACTGATGTGAATGTACAATATATATATGTAAAAGCACTGTGTAAATTGATGGCACTATAGAAGTACCTGAAATAATAATTGTCAGTGGATATTAGCACACCATGTAACCATTAGTGCTGTACAAGGCTTTGCAGCATTAAATAACATGAGCTTATATTCTTTTATAGAATGTGACAGACCACACCAGGACAGGGGCTTTTGGGGGGGGGTGAGGGGCTAGCCTTCTGCCCACTGATTATTCTCTAATGATGTACAACGTGAAGAACGCTGAGAGCAAAGCTTGGATTGATTCTCTGCATGGAGATGGTGAGTCTTCCCTTCTGGAGTGGATGGAGGGATGTGGTATTGATCTTGTGCAGGTTGGTGGTCAGAGGAAGTATGGTGGCCCTCATGCGGACTGGGTTGGAAAAACTCCTCTATTTGGGACAGAAATATTTATCAACAAGCTCCCTCAAGAAATCTATGAAGGTAAACTAATTCCACTTTTCAGACTTTTGGAATATTGTATAAGTTTTGTCTTATGATGGACAGATTATACAAGTGAAAGCAAACATCTGAAAGACAGAATGTGTAATGGACTTTGTATATTCAGGGGTGGGTTTGTTGCCAGGCTCTCTGCGGTGGCCTCCCCGATTAATCAAAGAATTGGCCGAGTGCCTGTAGATTAGCTTACTGTTAATTAGATCACTGTCAGCTCTTGGCTGTACTGTTGTGCTCAAAGCTCTTACCTAATCAGTGTGGGATGTTTATCTCAATGTGTAATATTTGTTTTTTTTTGTTCATGAGGGCATGGGCCCTATTTCTGGAGTGTATAAAAACCTGTGCTTTCTTTTCTATAGAGTTCCAGTTTGGCATCTAAGCTAGTCTCATGTAGTCTTGGGTGCGATGCCTGGCTATAATACCTTGGCCCTATGTCCCAGTGACGAGAAAGAGGTTCTCTGACTGAATCACCCACACTGGGTGACAGGCATTCCATCACATACACGATGGGTGCTTTTTATTCCCAGTTCATCCAAGACTGCATTCATACCTGAGCGATTTTCTGCTTGAAGGTTGTAGCTCTAAAACTCTCAAGCCAAATCCCATTAATTTCAATGGCCTCTGTTCACATATGAGCATTCTGGCACCTGAAGTAAAACATCTATTGCTCAAAAAAAAAAAAGTACATTAGCTCCTTGGTGGATGATTACAAGCATTTTTGGCCCCATAGACTTCAATAACACACCTGAAAATGTTTGACTTGAATGGTTTATGAGCATTTTGTCACACGTTTTCTGCTCAAACAGCAGCTCTCCACCCCTAATTTCCTCCCCCTAGTGCTTTCTATTGGCAAAACAAGAATGCCTGAAGATGTAAAATGCTTGTGATATGGTTCTAACAAAAAAGAACATACAATGTGAAGATTTACTCCACTACAGGCTGTGCATACAGGGCAACAAAATGACAACATGAAAAACTACATGTTTCACATCTTAAGCAGTTAAAAAAAAAAAAAAAACACACACCAGTGCAGGTAGGAAGTTTCAAATTGCCTTTAAAAAAATTACATGGAGATTTGATGCAGTTTGAAAAAAAGTTTTATTGTTGATCAAAATGATTGGAAAGTAAATACGCCTTCTCATCTTTACTCAAACATAATTTCATCTCCTTACCACCATATTTATGAATCCATTGCTGTGTCCTTTAGGAGTGAGTACAGCATGAATTGTGATGACTTCAGAATTATCAAAAGTGAATTAAAACACACTAATCTCATAAACCACTGTGTACAATTATGTCTAGGCGTACATTCAGAACAGTGGCTCAAAAGCTCTATTTCTGCTGAGTTTTACAGTATTAGTACAACTCCCGAAATGCCCAAATGAAAAGAATCAAAGCATTATCTGAGGTGCCCGACAACCACACTTCAGTCATTTATATACAGTAGCAGTGACACACACACAGATGCAGGCATCTTTTTTCTATAAGCAGCCCTATCCTGAAGTGGACATTTTCAAAAATAGTGAAAATTCTTTGGATGGGCCACAAACTGTTTAATCATATGCCTTCAGACTGGGAGATGGAATACTTAAAAAAAAAAATCATAATCATATAATAATCATGTATTCGTGATTATTAATCTGAGAACAATATAGCCTTAAAAATAAGTTTCTGAGTGACCAATATACACATTTTTCATTTATCAAGATGTAACTGGAGTACCATGAATAACCAACAAAATCACTTCTACTTACTGGTCTGTCTTTTCATGCTATTTTTTGTCAGAGAACTTTACCAGCTTTACCAAGGAGGACAGACTGACAAAAGGATGTTATTCTGCCAATATCTATTCAGTACTATGGCTATACAGGTCAGCAGCTCCAATAATGACCACTCAGAGCCAGGCATGGTTCTCACACAACTCTGGAGATGAATGACAGCAAGGCTGTACATGACTGACAAACCCCACCTTGTAAGTGCCAAGAGTTAAGTTACAGAACCTTTTCAGATATATACAAAATGCTGTGGACTTGGGACTAAAGACCCAGTGACCCTCTAATTCTGTTTTACACTATTTTAACTTGGACTTTTGCTTAGAAAATTACTTTGAACACAGTCCATCTCGGACCACACAATCATTCAGATTTGGTCAGAAGTGGGTATTCCTGTCCAACTTGGAAATATAGAAGAAGTCCATATGAAGGTGGTAGTTTGTCAACCTATAAAATCAAACCTGCGGTGGCTAAAACCACTTGAAAGCAACATACGCATTGAAGAATAAACACCACATGATCAAAGGGGGTCAGCCTGGAGGTCTGAACAGAAAAAAACGTGAGGTATGTAGTGGCACCTCATCATATCTGTATTTTAGTTTCCATTCATTTATGCTACTTTAAAGAGCTTTTATAACTAAGAGTTTGCTTTAAGCAACAATTATAAATTATGCTCTGTATACAGCAATATACAATAAGCACCTTTCTAGATATTTGGTCTATATTGCATATATTCTGTTCAAAATTACACTTTTGTAAGTTATCGGCAGGTTTGATGTTTGTGAAGATGGTTACAGTACATCGTGGAAAGGCACTTATTTTGAAAACAGACGATGCTACTATTTAAACCAGTTTCACAAATTCATTCTAAAACCAAGAAGTTAAATTCAAAGTGCCATTTTGTTTTTTTATAAATATTCAAGACTTATCCTTGTTTTACTCAAAACTCACATTCAAAAGGGATTGTGTACTAAGTGCCACTCTTAAAAAATATACAATCTCTAGTATTAACCTTCTGCATAACCATATCATTCCCATCTATTTAAGGTAGTTTTTCAGTAGATTATAACCAAGTTCTTTTGAGGTCTTTGTTTGAATGGTCTTTTTAAGCAGCCTTCTAATTAAAAGGAAAATCCATTTAGTGCAAGAGAAAGAAGAAAATAAAACAGAAGTTTGCATCAGAGGGTAGAACCCGAAATGTCAATTGAAAATTTTCATGATCTAGATACAATAGATTCAACTTCTGTTCTTCGGTATCAAAAAAATCCAAACAAGCAACATAGCAATGATAAAGCTTGATCTACTGCTGATAGGGTAGTTTTGTAATATTGGGTACAAACATAGCCTGCAGCTTTGGGTTCATTGCTCTGGTTTATAGCACACTACACAAGAGCTGATTATTTTGTACCATTCTTCCTATATCAGAAGAGAATAATAATGAAAAAAAAGCGTTGATGACCTATTACTTGATCTACTTTTTTGTGCGTACCAGCTGAATATCTTTCTTCGACATACAGGTATCACATCCCCAAATAGCTGAGGTTTCAGCACAAAGTAGAGCGTAGGCCAAATCTGTCATCCCTGTGCATGTTCGGTGAAACAACTTCCGGCAGGAGGCTTCACACATTATAGCATCCGCAACATTATTTACTTCGACAGAACATATGCCGCATAGGTAAAAATTATCTGTGGAAACGTTACCACAAAAGTCAGAATGTAGAAGCCACCTATTGCATTTCTCACTAGGGGTTACACCCGTCTTTGCCAGTCTGGAAAGTGCTGGTCTGTTACGGATTCCATTAATCTGGCCACAATCAGAAAGGTCTACTACATCGGCCTGGGAATTCTCTGGATCTCCCATATGTTTGCTATTAATTTTTTGGACTTGACATAGGGTGACAGGGTACATCCAGATGCAGTTTGTCCTGAAGTCCAGCAGATCTCAAATTATTTGGTATAAGAACTGAATCTTGGTTGGAGCTGGATATTTTTGAAGGCAAGAAATGTGGTTGGGTAGGTGTAAATGAACTATTGCTGTCAATTTGACCAACATTCATTTTAACACATTGGGGCCTGTAAGAAGCAAGCTGGAAGTCATTTCTTGGAGCAGAATTTAGACTTGTCATGCGTTGGAGGTCTTCATCATTCTGGTTTGCTCTAAAGTGCTGTCCTGGCATTGTGATAGTTTGGCCTAAACTGCTGTAGAAAAATGACTCGCTTTCAAAATTAGATTTCTCTTGTGCTGCCAAATTAAAGGGAAAGGATTTTCCCATCACCTTTAGGTCTTTTGTAAAAGGCGGTGGCTGATCTCTTAGCATATGGTTGCCAAAATTGCGAGAAGGCCTTTTTGGTGAGGTATCTGGAGGCATCCTGAAAGTATTAAAGCTTTCAATGTTGGAATATCCAAGTTTACCATAATAAGTGTATCCTGAAACCGGAGGTATACTATAGTCATCATCAAATGGATTGCAGGCGATGAGGTGATCTGAACTTGTATTTGTCGGTGGAGCATATTCCGATAAGGGAGAAAGTGAGGATCCCTAGAGACAAAAAAATAAATAAAATGAAATAACTGTTCTGTTGCTAGTAAATCTACTGATGTAAGCACTTAGATTAAGCCATAATGCAGCTTTAAAGACTATGTAAACCCAACATTTTGTATTCCTGATATGTGCCATGTATTTGTATTGAAAAGTATCCTTTTTTGTATTGCTTCCATTGTGTGAAATCCCTGGTGTTCCTGCCAGTTCCTCTGCTTTCCTATTAAAAATTGACAATGCCAGGCATGAAAGCACAGCGTGGACAGTTCTCTAGCTATACCAGGAACTCAGTGTGCTCTCTTCTCCAATGATCAGACTTGTCCTGACACACCCCTGCAAAGCCCTTCACTGAGAAAATCAACGTACTGCTGTTTCTCCTTCCCAGCTCTCCAACATCCTTATGCAGCTGAGAACAGATGGAATGTGATCTCTCACACACACAAAACTATAAAAAGTATTTATAATGTTCGTTTTACCTTTCATTTCTACTTCCATTTCTGGGCATCATAGACCGAGTCCAAGCTCTGGAGAGATTCCAATCATATGATCAGGATCCACCCAGAAGTCTAGATCGCCACCTGGCTCAGCCTTTCAGCAATCCACTGAAAGCCTGAGCTAGCTCCTCCTACCCCCTCCACAGGCCAGCGCTCCATTGAGACCGTCCTGGCTCTCTGCTCGGAGCCGAGAGGAGAACTGAGCAATAGCAGCCTTTGGTTGCTTGGCTCTCTGTGCAGTCGGAGAGGGACAGGTACAGCATTAGACTGATGCTACATCCACTTAGGTGATTGTTTTTTCCCTAAAGCCCATACTTCACTTTTAACTATTCAGCTCCTGTGCTAACTGCATGATTATTTAGTAATTCGTTTGAGAATGTAAAGCAGATACACAATGGATTTACTAAAACTGGAGAGTGCAGAATCTGGTGTAGTTGTACATGGCAGCTAATCAGCTTCTAACCTCAGTTTGTTCAGTTAAGCCTTGGCAATAAAACCTGGAAGCCGATTGGTTTCTCTGCACAGCTGCACCATATTTTGCACTCTCCAGTTTTAGTAAATCTTCCCCAATTAGTTATTTAGGTGTTCCTGACAAATCATTACATGCAAAGCAATGTGCTGACCTCATTAACCCATTAGTTACTTGAGGTAAAACAAATCTTAGTGCCTGAACACAATTTTGCAACATTGGCATGTGTTAGTAAAAATCGTACATATCATTATAACTACATTGTGCATCCAGGTGGATTACAGCTTGTTTTTTTCAGGGAAAATTGGGCTCTCTTTTGGTGGTAAATGGTAACTTTTTTTTTTTTTTTTTTGGTTATAAAAAAGGAATACGATCCCAAAGTAGTAAAAAAAAATTTTTTTTAATTTAGCCATTTCTTGCTAATACCATAATCTACCATCACAGAACACAAAATTCTTGTGCTCCCGACGATCATAACGATACCCCGTGTGTATTATTTGTACCCGTAGTAGGGCCCAGACACAATAGTGCGCATTTTGCTGGGGTTTGTTGTTTTTTTTATTACCCAAGACATTACTGACAAGGATAAGAATTTTAAAAAGTGAAAATCCTGCCCAAAAATGTACTGACCGTGACCTTTGACCCTTACTTGATCCCAACACTAACCCTGGCACTGCCCTACATCTAACCGTGAACTAGGCAGGCGCTCTCTCTCTCTCTGTAACGAGAGAGAAATACAATGTATCTCTCTAGCAATCCGAGAGGGAAAAAAAAAAAAAAAACCACAGGGGTGGGCTGCATGGTGACTGATCAGTGTGATAGCCAATCCGAGGCTATCACAGCGATCAGGTGACCTGAATCCAGTAGTCCCAGGTCCTGATTGTTAGTACAGGACCCAGGGCACCAGGTGACAGCACGGTCTTTGTGCTGGTAGCCTGGTCTTTGTGCTGGGGGTGTGCGCTGTGTGGCTACCATGCGCAGCTGCACCAGATTTTGCAGTCTCCAGCATTAGTAAATCAACCCCCTAGTATCAAATGCATAGTTGTCAAAACAATATACTTAAAGCCCAACTCCAGGAAATCTGAAAAGTGAGGCCGTGCCTACAGTACAAGAGTAAACTGCTCTTTTATGGATGGAGCCATCCTCTCTGCTGGGACACTGATCAGTGGTTGCAGGCGCTGATAAAAATGAACATTTTCCATCCTGGTCGTTCAAAAGTAGTCTATTCACCGTTACAATAGACAACTTCTGATGAACAGGGAGGGTCACACAGTGAAATTCGGCCAAAATATGCTAAACTGGCTTTTCTCTATGTGTAATCAGCTACAAACTGCAGAAAAAATAAATTTTTTTTTTTTTAAAGACAAGATCACCAAAATAAAGCCTTGTTTGTCCTATAAAACAATATACTTTCTTAAAGTGGTTCTAAACTCTAACCCCAGGTTCACAGCTAAGTGTTTTCCGCAGCATTTGCAGAAACGCACTACAGTCCATTTAACATGATTTCCTATGGGACAGGTTCATATCTCCACGTTTTCACCTGGTGAGTTTTTTGGAAAGGGTCAGGGACTTTTTTAAAAGCTAAAAGCAGTGATTTTGCTACAACAATAGAATTCAATGTAAAAAGGCTGCAGAAAAGCATGTAGTGCGTTTTTGATGCTTAGAAACAAAGTGTTCACACCATGTGCAGAGACGCAAGTTTTTCTACACGCAAAACAATTGTTCTGTTTGCCCTGTACATACCATAACACTAGTACCACATGCAGTTTTTTTTTGCACACAGGAATCTGAAACATGTACGTTATGTCCATCAGTTTTTCTGCAGGTATGGTGTGAACAAGGCCTAAAACTTTACCTTTATGCATTCCCTGCTTTATAGTGTAAACCCTTCCATATACCTAGTGAAGTGACTGGCATCAGGTGATACACAGGTGAAACAAAACCTCCCACATAACTTGTACCTGTTTATCTGCAGTCTTCTCTTCTCTACGGCCAACTGTAAAATGTATCCAACTTGTGTGAGCTTTCAGCAGCAGGAGGGCGGGGAGCTGAAGTTACACTCTGCAGATCTCAGTGAGGTGAGCTCTGAGAGCGGATTGGAGGGACACCTCCCCTTCACACAGCACAGCAGCTCCCTCCCGTCACTTTTTTTACCTCTTGGTGTCAGGAAAATATATCAGAAGTGTGAAAAGTAAGAGGAAGGAGGCAGCAGATAGAAATGACACTTAATGCTCTGGAGTGAGACAAGTGCACACTTTAGAGGGATATATTGTTCATATTTCATGTCAAAAGGTTTACAACCACTTTAAAAATTACCCACAAATGGTCCCCCCATACTACAAAAAAAAATAAATAAAAAATAAAAAACTTACCAGATAGCTTTCATGGAGCACCACTCTCCTCTCTTCCTGGTCTCAAAGGAGACACTGAGGGAAGCAAGAGCCATGGGCTCTAATTGCTGTTTGTGAAACTCCCTGTGAGAAGGGAACAGGAGTGTGACTTGCTGGCACACTGTGTGCTTATGGACACACAGGTCGGCTCGGGAGCGCACATGCAAAGGTGCCACCTTAGCAATCAGCTTGCTGAGGAGGAAGAAGTGGGGGGACCGCCAAAGAGGAGGTAAGCCACCGCTCGTGCAATATTGTTGCACAAAGTAGGTAAGTAGAACACCTTTTTTTTTTTTTTTTTTTAAAGCGCTGCGCAAACGGTTGGCGCTATATAAATCCTGTATAATAATAATAATAATTTTAAGAATGTCAAAGTGATTGTGGAATCTATGGACCAGAATGACTTTCACATTATTGGTTGGCCTATTAAGGGGATTACCAGTACAAGAGCTGAAGCAGTTAAAACATCATCAGAATTTTCTTTTGTGATAATGTTTGTCTAATATAATGTTCTGTAGACTCAAACTTTTCTAGACAAAAAAATTAAACAGGAAAAAAAAAAAAAAAAAAAAAAAAAAAAAAAAAAAGGTTTGTGATGAGCCAAGCTGAAGTCTTCAAGACGTTTACTACAAACTGGTATCTGTCAGTTCTGCAACTGTTAAATCATACTTCTCTTGTAAAATAGATTCATTAGGCTTCTATTAGTATTACGCTTTTCACACTTGTGAGGATTTCTGTTCAATGTAATTGAAATGTGAGCTCCATGGTCAGGATCATAAGGAGTATGCTAGTAGTCTGACATAACGTTTTAGCAGCATTGTTTTAGTTTTGTTATGCCTGCATATATGTGAACTGGGGGTATTGCCTGGTACACACAATCAGAAAATCAAAACACAATACACCACTTTCGAAGCAATTGTATGATAATCTGGTTGTTAGTACATTGCTTTAGTCCGAAATTATTTGAGGGAACAAACAATGCGGAGGGAAAACTCCCCAAAAAGGTACATATACAGCTCTTTACACCCCGGTCACATTGGGTGCGACTTGGCATGCGATTTGCATGCCATGCGACTAGAAAATCATATGCCAAGTCGCACCCTATTGCCGGCTATTAGAGCGGTCATATCGGTGCGGTTTCGACTTGGTCAGAGCCACACGATTTTTAAAGTAGTGCATGCACCACTTTTGTTGCGATTTGCATAGACATCCGTGTCGCAGGTCACCTGATTTTTATATCATGCAACTTCACTGTAAGTCGTACGATTTCAAAAATCTGCTTTGATGTGACCGGGGGCTTATTGAAGAAGAGAAATGCTATGTCCCTTGTGCAGTAATACACACTTAACTGTCTACTAGCAGTTTTCTACTTAAATGTACACTGAGCTGCGCAAGCACAACTCATCGTGCATTCCCAGCACACTGCAGCTGGCAGCACGATTTAAGTCATTGTGCATTGAGTCAATCAAGAGGCCAAAAACCCAGCACCAAGAAGTAGTCCGAAGGGAAGACAGCGGCTGGTGAGGGATGTAACGGTTGCATAGCTGAAAAGTGGAGGTGAGTATTTAGCAAAAATTCTGCTTTAATATAAATTTACACACCAGGACTGTCTGCCTCCATGAGCTCCAGTAAGAGAATTGCCTTTTAGAAGCATAACTCTTAGAGAACAGTCATCTGTAGGGGAGTGTGGAAAGAAGGAAATGTGGCGCCAAAATGAGCATGTGGGGACTACAGCTGTGATACTCAACTGATACCATGTAGACAGGCAAATCTTCAAACGGTCCCATCTGGAAATGCTAATAGAGGCAGAATCACAAATGATACTCAAATGAAAACTTCCTGAATCTGGCACACAGTTTTCAGAAATTATATTAAATTTAGTATGTACCTGTCCACTGGCTTTACGCTTCTTCTTCTCAGGACATCCCAGTGGAGTACCTGATCGAATTAGTCCTTCCAATCCGCCAACATCACCTGCAAAATAGAAGTCACATACTATAAAACATGGCACATATGTCATCTGTATGCAAACAAAATTCTTTTATTTGCATACAGTATATATTCTGTTGTAGCACTTGGTCTAAAAACATGTGAGTTCACATAAATTACTGGCAGTAAATTTGGCAAAAGCGCTCACAGCAACACCATTCCTGACAAGTGTTAGAACGCATGTTTAAAATGAAATAATTCATAAGACTGGTTGTTAAGAGACACATATGCAGTTGATTTACACCTTTAATAAGAAAGTACCTAATGCCAAAACCTATTTTATTATGGAAACAGCAAGGATGGATTTGAACATCTGTCAGGATGTTACTGAAGTCTGTCTATGCATTGGAGATACAGCAGGTAAAACACTTCACCATTCTTTCTAGGTAAATCTATTTGAAAGGTGCTTTTGATATGAAAGTTTCACATATTGGTAGCAACCCATGCAATCTATACATACAAAGAAAACGTTCAGAAATTAACTTGTAATAAAATGGAATGACACCGTAAAAAAGTATTGAACAAGTGAAGAAAGGGAGGTGCAAAAAGGCATGGAAAGCCAGGACACCAGCTGAAATCTATCAGTAATTAGAAAGCATATAAAAAAGGTGTCACATTACCAAGGAGTCGCACAAGAAACATCATGATGGGTAAAAGCAAAGCTCTCGCTCAAGACCTTTGCAACCTTATTGTTGAAAAACATAGTGACGGCATTGGTTACAGAAGGATTTCTAAATATCTGAATGTTCCAGAGAGCACTGTTGGGGCCATAATTCGAAACTGGAAAGAACATCAGTTCACCATAAACCAGCCACAACCAGGTGCTCCTCACAGGAGTTCTTACAGAGGAGTGAAAAGAATCAGAAGAGTTTTCCAAGAGCCATGGACCACTGGTAGAGAGCTTTAGAAAGACCTGGAATTAGCAGGTACAATGGTTTCAAAGAAAATAAGTAATGCACTCAAATCGCCATGGCCTGTATGCATGCTCAGATGAGACCAAAATTGAACTCTTTGGATGCCATAATACACACCATGTTTGGAGGTCAAATGGCACTGCACATCACCCCAAAGACATCATACCAACAGTGAAGATTGGAGGTGGGAACATCATGGTGTGGGACTGTTTTACAGCATACTTCAGGTACTGGCAAACTTCATGTTATTAAAGGAACGATGAATGGAAAAATGTACCAAGACATTCTTGATAAAAATCTGCCATCTACCAGGATGATGAAGATGAAATGAGGGTGGACTTTTCAACAAGACAATGACCCCAAAACAAAAAGCCAAGGAAACTCTCAATTGGTTTCAAAGAAAGAAAATAAAACTGCTAGAATGGCCCAACCAATCACCTGACTTGAATCCAATAGAAAATCTATTGAAAGAACTAAAGATCAGAGTTCATAGCATGTAACTAGGTTCTCCATACAGGAAGCATCTTGAAGCTGTCATTACCAACAAAGGTTTTGTATGAAGTATTAAATATATTTCAGTTAGCGTGTTCAATACTTTTTCCCTGTGTCATTACATTTTATTACTCATAACTTAATTCCTGAACTGATTTTTTTTGGTTTCTTTGTATGTATAGATTGGATGGGTTTTTACTGACGTGGGTAAAAAGTTCATGACAATAGCACCTCTAGGAATATATTTACCGAAAAATGGTGGCGTGTTCAATACTTATTTTACCAGCTGTACACCCTTCTCTCTTTGTTCAGGTGATCTACAAGTATGTCACCTGGAGAGGGTAAAACTTTCAATGGGGGCATTTATCCAGTGGGGGATTTCCCTTCACTTTTGTCTCCGGGACAGAAAGTGAAGAAAAAATGTCCAAAATTAGACAAATAATGTCACAGGGGTTTTCACTGCCCCATGTTAGCCAAACTCAGAAAAAAAGCACGGTTTTTGAAGCACTTTAATATTTTAAAATGTACCAAAGTCAACATTTTTACTTTTTTTTTTGCATTCCCTGCATTAAGAACCTCCTTCACAAGGCCAGAAACATGTGGCTGCAGGATTTCTTCAGCAAGAATCAGTGGATTCTTGCTGCTGGAATGACTAGGTCATGTGGTAAGTAGAATGCACTCAGCACATTTAAAAGTACGTGCTAGGGCACCTACACATGAAAACACTGATTGCAATACATGTTACATATCGCCGCGCACGTCAGAGCGAGAGCAATAACTCTAGCACCAGACCTCCTCCGTAACACTAAACCAATGACCTATAAGGGGCTTTAAAAGTATCGCCTATAGAACATATAGGGCACTAAAGTTTCTTGTGGTTTCACGAGCACACACAAATTTAAGGTTTGACATGCTGGATATCTATTTACTCGATGCAACCTCGACTTTATATTTTACAAAAAAAGTGGATAACTTATTGCTTTTTGTGCCCTGAAATTAACAAGTGTGTTTTTTTACTAAAATCTTGCAGTAATACAACCTTTGTGATAATATCATGTGACATAAAAAATTGGAACTACTGCCATTTTATTCTCTAGGGTCTCTACTTTCAGAAAATATATGTTTGGGGGGTTTTGTGTAAACTTCAGGCCTTCAATGATTTTTAAACGTGCAAAAAAAAAAAAAAACGCAAAAATGGCTCTGGCAACGAAAGGGATCAAGGATAAATCCGACATGCCCCTTTTCTGACGAGCAGCCAATTGGTGCTCATTACACTGCAAGGTCTCTCCCCTCCCTGCTAGTCCCCGGGTGCAGTGCTGGAGACAGGCTGGGAGGGGAGGAGGAGATATACAGTGCAATGTTAAAAATATTAAATTTGGTTTTTAAAAGCCCCAGACATTACTAACAGCACCTCAGATTTAAATATAGTTTGGGTTTAAATTAATTTTTTATCAGTACAAATAGATTGCCATGAGGGACAAGTAGATTGGGGCACCGATTTAGTCCCTGGATAAGTAGTTTTTCACAAATTTCCACCCTGTGATATAGATTATTCATATAGGCGCGTTTGGGGGGCCATTGATGAGAAATGGCAGTGCACCACAATGCCCAGTAAAGCACGTGTCAGGTCATGTACAGTACATTGTGGTATGGTGAGTTTTAGCGTAAATGTAGCACAAAGGTGACTGTAAAATATAACATTCACAGAAAATGTTGTGCTGGAACGGTTACACTATGTATGCACAGATATGCTTGCTGTGGCCCATAGACATTGCATGGTTTTATATGCTGGTGCATTTGATGCCATTGCCCAACATTTTTTTTTTTTTACATGCTGCTTTTGTTGGCACAAACACTAAGCTGGTCAAAGCATTTTTTTCAATATTCTTCATTTTAACCCATTTCCTTGTGCACCTCTTCAGAGTAAAAAGCAACATTTGGATGTGTAAGGTGCACAATAAACTAGGCCTAGATAGGTTCAGAGATCTGACTGTACACATCCACATGCTCCTATAAGCCTGGAAGACAAGCGAGCCATAGCACTTTATTCACTAAAATCAGGCCCATATGTCAGATGCATTAGTTACAATGCAAAGCCAACATAATCTTGCAGCTGCTGTGACTGCTGCATAAATATTTATCCTTTCAAGCAATTTCATCATGTAATTACCTGTGACTTCTGACATATCATTTGTTGTTTAAAGTGGAACTCCACCCAAATGTGTAACAAATTAAATGTAAGTTTTACAACCACTTTAAACCTAAACTGCATTTGGACTTTCAATTTTTGTTTTGAATTTCAGATATGCTTTACAGCAAGGGTGGACAACCTTAAAAAGGTGGAGATCAACCTGAACAACATAGGAAAAGTCAAAGATCATCGGGCACAATGTCGCCTGTACTACTGTGTCACAATCGAGTGCATTGCATGGCAATCACAGATTTAAATCAGGTGATGAGGAGGCAACATATCACCTCCTCAACACCTGTCAAAACACACTCGGATCTCTTTTCAGAGGAGTAGCAGCACCTACTGCACTTGCAACAGGAGCCCTTAGTTCCATCTGGCAGCAGCACCCTTAGGGCTCGTTCACATGTAACGTTGGGTGGGTGCTACTGCCTGCCAGACGCGACCCATTTAAGTAATGGGGCCACTCTGCAAACACCCCACAACTGCATGATTTTGAAGGGTTCAAGCAGGTGGTGAGAAATTAACTCTTACTGCTCTGAGTGCCCTAGAAGTCTGCTTTCACACGGGTGCAGCGCAGTGCAACTGCATTCAGGAATTTTGGTGTGCTCTCAGAAAGTGCACCAAATCTACAGGATATAATAGAAGTCTATGGCTAAGCATAGCAAACTCACAGGAAAGCTGCAGGTACACTGCACTGCACACACCGTGTGGGTAAACAGCACCACATCAGTGTGCAAGCAGCCCTATACTATTATGCCCAGTGTATTCCTTTACACTGACCTGAAGGTCTCCTCTTTCCTGCTGCTGGCACCACTCTGGAGACCGCTAGCTGGGATAAGAGGTGGAGTGCAGTTGGTATCACTCCGCATGGGACAGGAGCCAGCACTACATGGGAGGCATCGGCTTATGCGGCTCTTGCTCCCTACTACAGCGTCATCTTTACAAGTATTCCCTCTGCATTGCACTCTGAAGCTCTGGGATGGCGGGTCAGCAAGCACAGACTGCGATATACCAGTCACCTGGCCGTGATCTATGGGTTTCTGACCCCCGCCTTACAGTATAACTGAAGGCAAAACTACTTTTTTTTTTCCTTAATGTGGAGATTTTAGAGTGGAGGTGGATTAGAACATCTGTCAGGTTTTTATTGCTTTATGCGTCCTTTTAGGGAGATTCACTGTATTTGTGCCGCTGAGTGTCATCACTAAAAAGTGAAAGAAAATCCTCAGAACAGTGAGGGGGAAATCCTCAATGGGGACACTATTTCTGGGGACAACCAGGAATTCCCTGACTTTGGAGGGATTTCCCTTCACTTCCTGTTTTGGCTTTGGGACAGGTAGTAATAAGAAATCTCCCCAATGAACACAGATAGCATTAAAACCAGACAGGGA